GGGGGGGGACGAGCAGCTGGGGGCTGCACACTAGGAACTGGGGGCTGGGCACAGCAGGAGGGGAGGCAAGTTTATGCTCAGGCCCTTTCCTCCAGTGGCTGTGCAAGAACTGCACACTAACACCCGAGACATCCCGTTCCTGTGAATACATGTTATGCCAAGCTCCCATCACAGAGCGTACACCCCCAGACCTGAGTAGGCTGCGGCAGTAACGTGGGGCCAGGCATTAAGAAAGGCAAAAGGCCCCTTAGCTGTGCAGCTAATACAGGCCACCAAGACTGTCACTGGTCCTGCACAGTGGTAATGCGACCTTGGCAACACCTGTTGGGGATCTTGGCTCCAGAACTGACTTGCACTGCTTTTTAAGAAACATCTTTGTATGTGCATGTGTGTGTCTATGTGTGGATATGCACACATGAGGGAGACCAGAAGAGGGTGTCAGACTGGCCTGGAGATGCAGTCACAGATGGTTGTGAGTCACCGTACGTGGGTGCTAGGAACCAAACTCAGGTCCCGAGCAAGAGCAGCAAGTGCTCTTAACCACTAGGCCACCTCTCCGGTCCACTTGGCCTATCCTGCACTGCACAGTCGTCAGGCAAAACTTCTAAACATGAGAACGGGGTCACTGCATTCCACTCTGGAATTTCAGCTAAATCCCAGTTCCTCCCAGAGTCTAAATTCTGCCCCTCCAAACATGGCCATGTCTATCTGGAGGAATGTTGAGTCACCGCCTGGGAGTGACAGTTGCAGCTGGGGCCTGTCCTCATCTCTGTGGCTGCTGGGGAAGGAGACAGGGAGCCTCTGAAACTCTAGGCTCTTGGGACACTATGCACTCCTCTTAGAGGCAGAAAGGCAGACAGCCTTCGTGGGGAAGTGGAACAGGTCAGTGGAACAGATACTGCTTATTCTAGATGCAACTTGGAGAGGTGAAGGGCGTTGTATGGCTAATGCCTTTTCCCCCTGAGGCCACCAGCCCTGTTACTGGACAGAGAAGAAGGATGTAGGGTTCCCAAGGGTGGGAGCTAGACCCACTCCTGTGTCACCTTGCCTGACTTCTGATTTCTGTAAAGTGGGTCTCTTTGAATCTCCAAAGATAAGTCAGAGGCTCCCAGCTGTGGGAGGCAACAGAGAGTGGGGCTCCAGGAAGCAAAAGTCAGGGCCCAGGAGGGCTTTGTGGGTCGGAGCCCCAGGGTTGCTGCCCACACTTCCTGGAATTCCATGGGGGGTGGGAAGTCACAGGCAGGGAGAGGTCACTGAGATTTCCCCTTAACTTAGTGTCAACAATCTTTTGTTTGCTTCGGCGAGAAGCTTAACCAAGAGGCAGATTCCTTGGATTTCTGCAATTCTGAGCTCATAAAAAATAATAAAGCACTTAGCAAAAATAAATCTGCCAAGCAAAAATGTGACGGGAGCTCTGTCGTCAGCTGGCAGTGGCTGTGCCTCCAGCCAGAGACTGCTGGCATGGGCGCAGGCTTCCAGGCTGCCAGCACAAATGGCAGCAGGATCTCAAAGTGGCAGTCCCTGCTCCCACACAGAGACACACTCACTTACACAGACAAACTCACACTCAAAGGCACACTCCCATACAAACATATCCTCACATACAGATACATTCCTACACATAGACACACTCCCACACAGATGCACTGACACAGACATATACCATAGATGCACTCACATACAGACATATACATATAGATATGCTCATACACAGACATACACACATAGACATAGATACTTACTGACACATAGATACATCTGCATGCAGATAGATACACACAGACACACTCATACACTCACAAGCACAGACACACAGACATATATACACACAGAGACACATTCTTGCATATGTAGACACACGCATGCGTGCGCGCGCACACACACACACACACATACACGCACGCACACACACACACACACACACACACACACAGCATTTCCCCTTTTTCTTCTGCTTTCACAATAACCAGGAGGCAACCAAAACATAGCCAGGTGCAGGCCTGTAGTGGGACTGTGCACTCCTACTCCGGGACTGCTGGAGAGCCCTCTGCCTGCCACCCAGGGACCCAGATCAGACAGCAGGACAACACAGGTGGCCTTCCCTCCGGCCAACCATCACCCTCCGCGTCAGAATCCTATCTGAAAGAGACACAGGCACGGGAAGTTTGGCTGGGCCACTGTGGAGCACAGCATAAGAGTATGCACACCACACATCATCAAACCAGAACAGAAGGCATAAGAGACACAGCTGTGAGGACACAGAGCACGGAAAATCACAGAAAACCACAGAAGGGAGCAAGCAGTAGCGGGTACACACCACAGGAGGGCTTGCTGGTCCTCACAAGGGCTCCAAACAGAGGCACTAAAACCAGCTACCATCTCAGGTGCATCTGCTGTGTGTTAAATGTTTATCCCACTCAGTGTCTCCAAAGGAAAGCAGTATCACTATGTGTAATGTAGAGAAGTATATTCTTCACATTATGCTAAGTGGAATAAGCCAAACACAACAATAAGAATATTGTTTTTATGGCCCCATCTACATGCAACACTAGAGTATGGAAAATCATAGCGACAGAAAACAGAAGCTGTCAGAAGCTGGAGGTGGGGTGGGGGGAACGGGCAGTCACTGTCAGCCTGCACTGTCTTACTGCTTAAAGGACAGGAGCAAGACGAGCAGCTGGGCAGGACAGGATGGTTTAGCATGACAATACGAATTCAATCCCCCAGAATGGGTAACCGTTAGGAGAACCAACTCCACAAAGCTTCTTATGGACATAAACACTGGCACAAATACTCACATACATACATCATGTATATACACAAAAATAATAACTTAAAAACAAACAAAGCACGGCTGGGGCCAGGCTTGGTGGTGCATGCTGTTAATCCTATAGCACTTAGGAAGCAGAGGCAGGTGGATCTCTCTGAGTTCAAGGTCATCTTGATTTACGTAAGGAGTTCCAAGCCAGCCAAAACTACTGTAAAGAGCAACCCTACCTCAAAAACTAAAACCAAACAAAAGGGCGAGGTGCGGCTGTCATCCCGACACCCGGGACACAAAGGCAGGAGGATGGTGAGTTCCAGACTAGCCTGGGGCCTAGCCTGGGCCCCCTGACAAGACTGTGCCAAGAATAACTAAATAATCTGGACCTGGAAGGTAGGAATGCTGCACACTTGGGAGTGCGTGGAATGACATTGCACACTCAGACGTGGCTGAAAAGGGGTCAGGGGTGGAGCTCAGCTGGTGGAGTGTTCCCAGGAATGT